ATTGTCAATGTCTAATAAATTTCTACATTAGACATAATCTTTAAAATATTTGTCTTATCTAATACCTCGCAATATTAATTCGATAGCCATTTCATTTTTTTTCCATTATTGTCCAACACATCACATTACAAAACTTTCCAAATTCTTTTTCTCCGTTCTTCAGATTAGATAGTTTTATTATTAGTATAAATATATCAATTGTGTATTTACTTAAGTTAATTAATATAAGTCTGTTCAGTTATATTTCGGCCAAGACGTTGTTGATTGGTTAAGCATTTACTATGTATGTGTGTATATAATGATATTAGCGTCTAATTTGTTTGCTCTGTTTTTAAATGGTTTATGTTTAATTTGTGCTTTTATATTTCGAACCGTTGTGAAAAAGAATCATTGACTAGCCAGCCTATATCAAGTATTAATATAAATTAAACATAATACTTACGAACATTATTAATATGAATCAAAAATATAGTACGAGGTCAATAATGCATTAGTGATACAGTAATTAGCGTGTGTTGCATATTGGTAAAAAGTTCAGGAACTGCGTAATTATGAAAAAAGGCAACAAATTACAAAACTGCATTTCGCAGATTACATATTCAACAACTTTCATTATTTGTAAATATTATCATATAAAACGAAATAATATAAACGGGCGGCATTTCCATGGATAAATTTAATACGGCTGCTGTAGTAAATCCGCAAGACTTTCGTTGACGATGTTGACATTGGTTATAGCTGGTAATAACACGTGTAACACACGATTGTGAGGATAAGATTACGGCTCCGAACGGTGTGAGACATCCCTCATTCGTACGAAATGAACACGCACTCTTGTAATGCTGCAGATGAACAATGCTTATTTTCAACTGGTAACACATTTGGGTTCCATATTTTTAATTGAAAATTAAAATCACCGTTTCATGATGTCAGGTTGTGCAAATTTCATGTCTAAACCTTGTAGTCGGAAAGCAGGACGTTTAACCACAACCCTTAGCAATACCTTAATAATAAGAAAACAATAGTCTGCCCGAAGGCAAGTCCATGGTATAAGATCACCACAAATCAATGATTCCCTTTCCCTCCCCTGTTTAATATTCTCATTGCCATTTTAATACCATTAATCACTTTTTATACATTCTTATGAATTTTCCTTTCCAAACTTCTATTTCCAGGCTTTCTGATCATGTGCTTCGTTTTACAGTTCCCTGTATTTTCTCTTCTGGCGTAAGCCATTAATCTGCATTTTTTTTCTTGTCCTTTTAATTATTCTATTTAGATTTGAATAAGTCGTGTAAGGAGGCACTCTTTTTGCAGAATGGGTCCGATCCAGTTTCCTTTCCTTTTAACGATCGTGCTCAGTTAATTTTCGCCGACAGAACTTCTTCATTTATTACCTTATTTGTCCATTCTATATTCTCCATTCGTCTCCAGCACTACATTTCAAAACTCTCCAAATAGTTTTTGTCGGTCTTTCTTAGAGTCCATGTCTCTGATCCGTAAAGAACTATGCTCCAGATATAAGACTATTATTACCATACAGCTATAATATATTGGTTTAAAAATAGGATATGAATTATGCATTACATTATGTTTTTATATATAAAAATAGAGCTCGATAAAATGTTAGGTATACGTAAACTCTAAAACGGCTGAACGGATTTAGACAATTTTAGTCTTGAAATATTCGTGCTAATCAAGAGATTGTGCAAAAGGTGAAAAATTATTTCAAAACCGCATAGAAACTTTACATTTTTAAATTAAAATTTTGTATAGAAGGGTAATTCAAAATGAAACATTCGACTGCGACTCATACGTCAAATATGAAATGGTACTGACAGATAGATTATGTACAATGTAGTGTTTTAGATGAATATTATTTAATTTGCTGGGTCAGCTAGTACATTTTAAAACATGTAGTTTTTTTAAAAAAGTGTATTTGATATACGTACGTTTCGACTAAAATCCTAGCCTTCATTCAGTAGAAAACAAAGATTGATATCACTATATTAAAAATAAAAACACTAACATTCCATGATATGATGAGCACTATGGTAATATTTTTTTGGCATCACAGAAACAACAGAAATAAACAGGAATAACAATTATTAGAAAATCGCAAAATGTGTACTCTGTCCCTGTGTACTCTAATCACAAGACTTTCTATTATCTTATCTTAATGTTGTTATATTTAAGGATATCAAAGTTTATTATCCACTGAATGAAAGCTCCACATTACATGAGGGATGTTAACTGAAACGCATATAAATAAAAATTCGCTATTTTTCAATTTAGTGTTGAAAACCAAATTTTGTCACTGAAAACTATTTGACATACAATAAGAGAGCGTTTTGATGTAAGTCCATATCTAAAAAACATTGTTTTAACATCTTTGCATTAATCTTCATATTAATTTAGTATTACATTCGTTAATTTTTTTCTAGTTAAGTATGTCAATGCGATGATTACGATTTCCTCTAGCAAATTACATCGTGTATACAAATTTTCATTCTCTTTGAAATATTTGTCAATTCGTGAATTAGGATCAACTAAAAAGTGTTTATTTATGTTATCTCGGAATAAGTTTTTTTTATTTGGTCGCGCGATGATTGAAAATCATTAAGATCACGTTTACGGGCAGAATAATAACATTGAAGAGAACGTCTCCGTCATATGTTCGGGGTGATTAGTGCGGAGCATCTCGTCAGAAAAAAATAGAATGTCTGTTTCTGTAGGAAGATCGTGGTGCTCTATGTATAAAACACTACTTGATGAACGATCAATCAAAGCGCAGGTTGAATGCTCCCATCCATTTCCAATGAGATTGTTAACAGATCCGCTCCTGCGAACTCATTCAATACCACATTTAATTCCGTTCAAGTAAAATAGAGTCGTAAAGATGTACATACGTGTTTCCTAATTGCTTGTTTATTATTCATTATCACTGACAAATTAAATCATCACGTGTTATTTGAAACATATGTTCCTTGGATTAAGTCAAATTTTTATTAATTTTAAAGTCCCAAAACTTTTCAATAAACAAAAGACATTTTTACATACACCTATATCCCGTTTTACACGTTTTTGATCTCACGCGGTTTTTGAAAATGATTTCTTTAACGAAGTTTATTAATTTTGTATTTATACGAAATTCTAAAGAATAACTTTGTAAATTCTAACTACAACTTGTTTATATCTACAATAACATTTTCATTGTTTTACTGTCAAAATACAATACTACAAAATTACTACGAATTCATAGTAGTCTATGTCTATGATGGAAACATGTAGATAATATGGAAACTACCCGTTTTATGATCAAATCTAAATTATATGTGTGTTAAAATATTAATATTAAACAAACTAGCCCATACACAGTATAGGCTAGTTTGTTTGAAATACCTAAACAAAGAGCATCATTTTTTTAACTTTATTTTCAATTGGTGTTTATATATAATCGATAGCGTTAATTCATTTTATGTGAGAAAATAACCTAATTATTTTTTACAAAATCTATAATTAATAAAAGAAACTTTATAGTTTGACAATGACAAAGGAAAAAAAATAAAAAAGAAGTTAAAAGAAAGGTTATATCTTTACAAACCAAAATTGAAATTTTGAATCGTCTTCTAATAATAAAAGAATCATGTATGTTGCTATTTTTTATGCTATGAATGAAGCTCCAATTTATTTAATTGTTCAATGTGTTTGTTATTCATCATATTCAAAACTTACAAGAAGGGCTTGTTTATACCGATTTTCATTTAGCAAATTTTTTGGAGTTACGCGGTTTTTTATAGAACCTATCTTTCATGTAAAGCGGATATTAATTATAGAACAAACAACAATTCCGATATGCACAAAATACAAAATACGTCTCGTTCGTGAAATAAAAACATTTTCCAAATTATTAACTAATACCATGTAAACTATGTCTTTTTGTTGAATATGTTTTCTATCTATAGCCCACCCCATTACGTATATAGAAATTTCAAGTCCCAAAACTATTAAATTCATATTGAATGAAATTAATTATGAAACTTGACCGATAATTAAAAATCGTTGTGATTAAATGCGGCCCTGGTTGATGCATATCATTATTTATATGCTGTGATTTATAATATGAAAGGTATTGGTGGACGTATCTAACTCGTTTTGTTTAATGCGTTGTTAACAAGCATTTAATTTGCAATAGAAATGATTATATCTGGCTCTACGAAATTGGTCAGGCCCATACGATTAGTATTTTGACGGTTTCATTCGATATATGATAGTATGATACATAATCGAACTTAACTAAATTTGCTATTGCGTTTATGTTTATTCCCTTATTTCAATTTTCAGTACATTATTTAATAAATAATAACAGTTTATTTAAGTTGTATAGTACATATCTTATAAATTGTTTTGTCGATATTTTTTGCCATATATATTTAAAGCATAATTTTCTTTTCTTTCAGCTGTATGAAATTAATGATGACCCCAAACGAAAAGAATTCTTAGATGATCTCTTTCAATTTATGCAGAAACGAGGTAAGTTTTTCTTTTCTTCGATAATATAATTCACACGTTAATCACCACGATATCAGAATTTTTTTCACATGGACGATGGTAACTTTATTAGATACGTTAGTTAAAATGTATTAAGGACAATTTTCTTATTTGTCAAATTCCTAGAAGAACATTATTTTTTATGACACACATGTATGACTGACATGTTCTAATATTAATCTTTCCACTCGCTAATTCCGAGATTTATATAAATTTGGCCGCCGGCGGCATCCGAGTGGAAAGGGTTAAAACATTTTTTCTCGAAATTTCTTGTAATAAGCCAAGAAATTTTCAGGTTTTGTTCCTGACAGGCCAACCTGTAATCGATGTGGCTTTATACCAAAAACGCGTATATATGTAGAGCTTTTTTGTGTGAGACGCATGACTGACATGGCGATTAACGTGTTAATTAAAACCAGATAATTCATTGAATTCACAAAACACATCAATATGTCACAAAACGGCCACATAGCCTGCTCATATTTAAATATCTATATCTTTCCTATACTCCATAAAAATATTTGATTTTAATATGCATTTGTTTTAAAAGGTATGTTGTAACAGAATATTAAAAAAAGCGTTATAATTTTGGCATTTGGAAAGCAGAAAAAAAAGATATATTAAATGTTCTTCTCAGTTATCGTTATATAGGGTGTCCCAGACCTTGACGTCAAACAAAACAGGGTGATAGTATTGACCTAAAACTGCAGTGAAAAAAATTCTCACGTTGTTTGAGTTTTTAAGTGCAACCTAGAGCTTTTGATGACTATTTTTAGGTTATAGTCTGTATAACTTTTATTAATTTTGTTCACTTATACTTTGGAACCGTAACCGTGAATTACATTTCTAGGGCCACAGTACAAAAATACTACGATTGCCCCCGGTTTTCAAGAATTAACCCTTTTTGTTGAACTAGAATAATCTTATACATAATCATATTGTTTTCATGCGGAACTCGATGCGCTAGTGATAGATTTCGATTGATTTTTAACTTTTTTAATTTCGCGTCTCTCGACTAATAAACTCCAGAGTTGTCTATGTAGTAATGTTTCAAGATCTATACAAGTTATTAATAAATCTGTAGAGCCCCCAGTACAAGATCGAGCTCAGAGCGTGGGCGAAGATGATGGTGTACACACGGCATTTGTCTTGAAAATCGCTTCAACTTAGGGCACGTTTCCATGAACCATGCGAACATTAGTAATTAATCATTTAATCGAGGGTTAAAGAAAGTATCAGAATATAATTATCATGAAATTTTAAAATTTACTAGAACTAAATATTCCAATAAATAATAGGAAAAAATGAAAAAATATTCATTAATGACAGTATTATACAGATCTTTTTGTAAGGCAACGATACATAGTTTTGTGTATCCGATGTGTTTTTACAATCATAATCAGTAATTTTTTAAGTTAATGATAAAAATCTAAAAATGCAAAAACAAAACGATCATGGATACACAAACTTGACATATACGTGTACATGATGTATACCTCGTTTTATTACATTTACAAAAGAATTTATTGCAGTATGAAGATGCGCGTAAATCGTTTACAATTTAATAGTGTCAATCCCAAGCTGGCCTTGAAGAAGTTGATATGCGTCACATTGATTTAGTTATCACTTTTAGAACTAAAATGTGTTTCATATTCCCATCATAAACGTTAGTTTGCTTTTGCCATTCTTGCCAACAGAAAACTGACCACACGTATATATTTGATCATTAATTTTAATTTTAACACAAATTTAATCATCTCTTTTCGCACGTCTGATGCATGTTATTATTAACTATGATATATTTCATCTTAAATACTAGTCTTTAATAAATATTAAAATCTTCAATTATAACAATACCTCAAAATATAATAACTATATTAACCCTCTACGGGCCCGCGTAACTTTTAGATCACATTTCACTAAATAATTATAGCTTTTCTCATGAGATGACGTATAAATCTTACTTCCATAATTTTGTCAAAACAAGCAATATCAATATTTATTACATTTGCTACGCTTTTCAACCAGAAATAACATTTTAATACACAAAAGTTCAAACTTGTGACTTGAAGGTCGCATAACAAAAAAAAATTGTTTAAAAAGAATTTTTGCTTTCCTTTTGCATCATATATGGCTCATACTGGTTTTTTGCTTACCTAACTTTTGTGGATGTAAAACAAAAATTTAGCCCATAAAGGTCACTTTTATTAAATAATTTCATAATTATTGTTAATTCATTTACTTATAATCTATTGCCCAAGTCACTAAAATTGTCTATCGTAACTTTACTCAGGATACTTTTCAAAATCGTCTAGAATTCGTGGAAGACTTTTCCATGTACAACATTTTATGAATTTACTGTTTACAGGGGTAATTTATTTTATAGATTTATGAATTACTGATGCAATATTCTTATAGGCTTATAATCATTGTTAGTTTTCGGTTTTGAAGCAGAGGTAATTCGATCGGTTTACAACGTTATTTTTGACATTATTGGTAATAGAAACTTTTATGGCAGAAATATTTATACATTTGAGGTAAAAGCAGGCAAACGAGCATCTGTACTTACTACTTACATAATAAAAACACACACATATAAGATACTTTATATATAATATGCAATGTATGAACTGGTGGTACATGGCATCGCGTCTTAAGGCAAATTGCTGGACTTCTCGTACCGTAATTTAGAATTTTTAAAAGCTTTAAATTTTTGTTGAGAATTTATTTTTTGAGATTTTTTGAAAATTATGAATTATTTTTAACATTTTTTATAATTTGACGTTTTTTTAATTTCCATTTTTTTTTTTTTTTTTGAAAATTTCGGATATTTTTCACAGCGATCACGAAGTCGCTAGACCTGCTTTAATTGAATAAATGCTTAGTTCTGGCAATACAACTGAAATATTTTTTGAATCATTCAAATCGGATGCTTCGTTCTCTCAAAAACTGAATTGAAAACTGAAGTTTTTGCCCCGTATCTTCAATAAGGCTGAACCTGTCTTTGCCAAAAACTAATCAGCACGTCTCCTAGTCAATAAGAATTCAATGCTTATTAAATCATTTAAATCGGTTGATCCGTGCTCTCGAAATTGTGGACAAAAAATTGCGCACAAAAATACGCTCAGACAGATTCATCCATTTTTTTAAAGGCATGCCAAAATGTTCAGAAACCAATGAAACGTGAAGATTTTTTTCAAAAATTTTCATTTTATAATTATTCGAGATTACTACAACTTACCCTAAAAGAATTTAAAAATAAACCTATTCAGCTTTATAGCTTTATATTTATATAATTGAACGCATGCTGATTTTAGGTATTTTGTTCAAATCAGGACTGAAAATGCAATCTTCCGTATTTTCGTAGATAGTTTGGGTAGTCGTTATTATAAAAGATATTTAAGTTTATTATTGATATTTTAAGTTGAAAAGAAATATTTTAAAATTATAGCCTTATGATGCGAACGACACGTACGTTCAAGTTTTAGTCTCACTAGAGGCTGTGACAATAGGGCGCAGAAATAGCTTTAAAAAATAAAATAGCTTTTAAAAATAAAATTGAATATTATTAGAAATTGGCAAACAAAGGCCTATTTCGTAGTATCTAATACCAGGTCGTCTCTACCTCTGTGTCTGTGTCTGTCTGCTAGTGTATGAATAAAATTGAATATGATTAGAAATCAGTAAAAAAAATTAAATTGCTAATTATTAATCATAGTATGCGTTGGTCGAATTGATATCAAGTCGTCTTTCCACCTCTGTGTTTGTTTGTGTCAGTGTCTGGTGGTGCGGTTTCGCGAGATGGGCGTGCGAGCACACGAGTACTTTGTATGGTAGCTTCGCTATATTCTGTTAAAGATACGCATTCGTCATATGCGTTTGCTGATTATGCTGCGCTTTTAACAATGTCGCCGACTTGAAAGTTTTGCACCGTCCGCGACTATAGAACGTTGACCTAACACACTGTTGCGTTCCCATGCTGTAAAATGGACTTACATATGCTTACCTTATTGTTTTTCTAAGAAAGACCGTGAATGTGATTTGCTTACAATTTGTCCTTTGCGGATATTATGCTTTGTTTTGCGTCGCACAATGTAGACTAGAGTTGTTGAATAAACGATCATTTGTTCTATGCTAGCTTTACAACTTTTAATATGTTTTTTGCTATCTGCGTAAATCTATCTCACGAACGTATTAATCTACATAGCTGCTTATGTATGATCTTCGATCTAGAATAATTAGTAATTTATACAGAACAAACATTAATTAGTGCTAAACCTTGATTGTGTTCAATGAACGTATGTGATGACAGACAACGAGAATGTTCGTATTGTATTCTCATAGTCAATAAAGTCAACATAAAAACAATTATCCGGTTCATTTTTCATTTTTACAACAATTCTCTTTTAATTTATATCATTCATAGTTTCAATTATAAATACTACAGGTTAGTAATGTAACTAGCTCTTGTATCGTTTTTTTCAATCCATTGGTATCAAAATCGTGAGCTTTTAAGCTACCACCGAACAGAATGCAGAAGTAATGTTTATTATGATTGTTTTGTCATTGAGGCTGGGAAGTTTGAAAGCCGGCGATATGTGTGATTTGCTTCGCACATATATGGCTTGTTGCACTATCGAACCGTGTTCGCTAAACAATAACATCTCAACATTGTTGCTAAATTTATTACAATATTTATAGTTATACATTACCTTCTGCTCTTTTGTTTACATCGTATTGTTAATATTCAGCATTATATACAAGACTACGTCGACTAATTAATTGACAAAGAGAAATTACTATATATACTTTCGTCACTGCGCACAACAATGATTTTTGTACCAAACTCAAAATACTGTACACAATTATAAGGTATACAATTATTAACATGCACACACTATCGTTGTACATAAATATTGTTGCGTGGTAAATAGTTTATGCAGAAATATAACGCAAACATAACCGACCGGCGAAGAATACATTGTTATTTCGCGATTGGTAGCTATTATTGGTGGCTATTACTCCATGTTAAACTTACGCCCAGTGATAAATCAACTTCGTCATTATTCCTGTCTCAAATATATTACATATTTCTATTTTAATTCCGTGAAATCATATTATACATACACGCACACAAATATATATACATATTTGACGAAACGTCGCTGATTGAAATCCGACGTAATTATTAACATAGATGATTCTCAATAAGACTCCTTTATTTGTTACATTGCGCTATATTATATTATATTATTATTAACTTTCCATGGGGTAAGTTATTGTAATCATCCAAAAATCGAAAATGAAATTTTTTGTATATCTTTACGTTTCTAAAATTTCGACATACCTTACAAGAAATGGAGATGTGTGTGTGCGTTAAGTTGATCCAATTTTTTGTCTACTATTTCAAGCGCGAATCAACCGATTTGAATAATTAAAAAAACATTCGATTCCTACTGATGGGGAGACGTGCCGATTAGTTTTTGGCAAAGACAAGTCCAGCCATTTTGGAGATACATAAATTAAGTTTTTGAGAAAACAGACCATCGGCTTTGAATGATTGAAATCATTCAATTCGTAATGATGGGAAGAAACTAAATTGCAAAAAGCGTCCGATTTGAATGATTCAAAAAACATTTTGCTTGTGTTGACGGTGTTAAGAAACGATTAATTTTTGGGAAATGCATTTTTTTACTTCCAAATTAAAAAAAAAAATTAGATATATATATTTTTTAAATATCGAAAATAATTCGGATTTTAATTTTAATTCCGGCTAAAATACAAAAGCTCACTTATAAACTTGAAATAAGTAATTTTAACTTAACAATTCATAGAAATATGAGAAAAGAACCTTCCTTCTAACTCTGCTTCTTTAAATTTTGTTTATTTACTTTTCATGCATCATATATAAACGTCGTCCAATTTATAAGCTCATTTTGTCTATAAATGGAAGCTACAGTATTTATAATAACCAATTTGAAAAATTTTAATATTTTTCGAATACTTCATTTTGGTCGTGAGGATCGTGCAATTGACTTTAGGCACGATGCCATACATCACTAGTTTAAGATCCTTTTTATTTATCAGTAAATTTCTATATATTAAATATAAAATTTTTCAAATTATTAATTATCTAAGCAATCGTAAGCTACCGTATTTTATTTATTTAT